TCTTGTTATTATTATTATTACTCCGGCATACGTGTTCTTTATTTTATTTATTTTTTTTTTTTTTTGCTCTCTCTTCGCCCCATCATCGCCGAGCAATGCGTTCAAGAGCGAAAATATAGCGCGTTGTTAGCGCCGCTATATACGTGCAAATATGATTAAAAAATATCTTGGATGCGTAGCAAAAATGCATTTTTAATGCGAAAAAGGTCGTTGTTGAGCAATAAAAATCTCCGCACGTCGCGCACCCCGATCCGACGCGCCTTTTCCGCCGTTTCGATCTCTTATTTTTTTTTTTTTTATTTTTTTCCCCGCTATACTCGCGTATACTGCATTATAAATAATAATATTGTCAGTGTGAAACTATTATGACGATATTTTTATACATGTATACTTTTTTTTTTACTAGAAACATAAATTCCGCGTGTTCATATATATTACTAAAACGTCGGTACGAGCGATTAATTTTTCGCTTCCCCAACGCATACGCCCCGTATGTGACCGTCCCGGTCACAATATATCGCCAGAAGCACGGGAAGGAGAAGAGGTTAAAAAGGTAGGTCCGCGATTAATGGTCACGATGTCCGAACATAAGAACCGCGACCATCGCCTATCCTCTCGGGAATATCATTAAACGAACATAATAATAATTATTATTACTGCACGTATTTTATTAAATTCTGTAGTACACGATATAGTAAGTGAGTTTTTTTTTTTTTTTTTTTATAAAGTTCGAGTGAAAAAACGAACCAAATTTTAATTGTCAAACATCTAGAGAATCAGAAAAAAAAACGGTTTCCATTATTGTACGCAGACGATTTCATAAATGGCGTGATATTATGCTGCAGTTAATCCGCAGACACTCGCGAAAAGCAATTAATAAATCGCGAAATGTCTTTTGGGGAAACGGCGAGAGATTTAAATAATATACTGCAGCCGTTTGCTATTTATCATGTTAAACAATTTTTAAATAAAAAATCTGTAAGTATTTACTTTGGCACCACGGGTAGGCTGTTTTGATTGGTTGGAAATTCAGAAGAAACAGAGTGTATCGTCAGGTAATAAAAAATTCGTGGTTGAATTGTTGAAAATTACCGAAAAATAAAAAAAAAAAGTTTCCATGTGAAATATCACCGGTTGGAAATTCCGCCCGGAAAAAAAGTATTTTCCGAGGAGTAAAAATCACACCTTAGTAGTGAGTGCAATAAGAATATTAAAACTATTCTTCGGTCAACTGCATATGTGTATGCTTTTACTATAAAATGTCGGTGTATGACTGCTGACATTCTGCAGTGTCCGTCTGGCACACCAAAGACCCCTGGAGCATTTTTCAAGAGGATGATTTAAGAGGGATGATAAATACAAAGGTTCTGAAAATCAGTGCGATATCGGTCAAAGGTCTGTGTCACTTGTCGATAATATTTTTGAAAATAATAACGGATTTTGAGGTGAGGTTGGTAATGACTGGTATTAGCAGGAGCAGGATATTATTTTTTCAGTTGTTTTTGCTCATATCCGTCTATAATCGGCTATAGTCGGCCGAGTAAAAAAAAATATTTCCGTTAAATTTTTAGACCTTTAAAATGATTTCTATCGGTGACGAGCATATAATTTATCAAAAATATCCGTTTTAATTGTTTTTGTCTAAACACTCGTTTCTCAAAAAAAATATTTTTGAAGCGTAATACATAATAAAACTACGTTAAGTTATGTTTGATAAATTCAACGGGCCCGACGGCCTGGATATCTATTTAAATATCCAAACATTCGAGTGAAACCGTTTTAATCCAATCGAACATAATACCGGGAGAAGAACAAAAAAAAAAAAAAAAATTAAAAAATTAACCCTAGACCAAATGTTATAATATTATTATTGCACATTGAATTCACAAAAAAAACGATTGTTAGCGACATTGCAGTTTTCGGTACGACAGTCACAAAATGATGAATGATTAGGTTCAATTTATTCGATTGACCGCAAACGCGATCGCGACCCGGCGGCCGCGGTCCGGCCGACGTTGGCGTGCGGTTTTTTTCGAATCAATTTTTTTTTTTTTTTTTTTTTATTACGAGCGATATTTTATAATAATATTACCGCGGGCGGACGCCGCACAAAACCGAGACAGAGTTAACAATAAAATGTTATTTACATCGGTATCCTATATATATATATATACATATTTTCGTATATGTGTGTACACGTTTCGACGAAGTTTATTATTGGCTTTCCCACACACACACACACACACACACACACACACACACATACCGTCGCAGCCGTCGTCACACGCATTCAATTTGCATAGATATATACGTATATATTGTAATGATATCATAAACATTTTCGAGATTTTCATCCGCACAATATAACGTCCTATAATGTTATGCCTCCGTAATACGCTATCGATTCGTTCCGCGCGCGCAATAATAATGTCGAGTTTTCGGATATTCGCGTTACTCTCGTTTAAAAGTTCGCGCAGGAACCACACACGCCGCCGGGTTCTTTTTCGGTATTATTGGAAGGGGACCGGAGGAGGGGTGATTTCCGATATTTTCCAATGCAGTCTCGGTCCCGCGGGAAGAACGGGCTCGCGTCGATTTTTAACATTTATTTTTTTTTTTTTTTATTATCAACGTATTCCGTGTACCTATTCCAATACAATATTATTGCGTACATTAACCGAGTAATCTTTGCGTGGTTAACACGGTATATATTGTATTTACTTTATTGAGGTGTATTGGCACATAACCATACGCTGTTTGTTGGAAAATACAAAACTTAAACAGAAATTATCAAAATAACGCGTTCGAAATTAACAACAAAAAAATTGCCAATTTTTTTATTGTAATTACTGAAACAACACTATACGGATTAGACGGCGTAAGCGATATGAACGGGCAACGATACAAATATATCACGACGGTTTTGCTTGTTTAAAAGACTACCCGAGAGTATACGCAGGATATATGCGATTTTCCAAAAAAAATTATGATATTAAACGGCATCTATTATGCGCTCTACGCTATGGAAACGCCACTGGTTATACTCAACATGAAAACATATCAAGTCACTTTAATTTTAAGTCGCGTAATACTTTTAGTTTTGCAAAAGAGACACGAGTCAAAGTGTATGACATAAGCCATTTATAGACTAAGGCCGCTTAGCTCTTATGTCATTTAGCAATATTTTAAACATTCAGTTCGATTCTTTTAAATACCAAGTGTGTAATAACATACAGGTCGCGGTGAACGATCGAAAACGTTTTTCGATTGCTGCCCGGGTAAACAGACAAATGGTCCATCTGCCGTATTTGGTCAATTTAATCGATTTAAATATAAATAACGTTGAAATGGGTATTGTCAAAATTACATACAGTAAAATCAATTGTGTACTGTTAGTTTTAACACCGGAGTGAATCGGTTTATTATCCAACCTTAAAGGTAAACACAAATTCAATATATGTAAGTCGGTCTTTTTTCGATATTTTAATTTGCAAGCGAGATACAATAATTGTAATACTTCACATGCTCGTATCTCGTTTGGAAATTAAAATATCAGAAAAAAAAAATCGTACAAACAGAAACAGTGGTCTAGTCTTTTAATTTGGTAATAGGCCAAATACTGGTAAATATTTTTTGTGCATTTATTGATGTTATATATTTTGATAAGAATTATAAACATTTCAAACCATTTTAAATCCCAAGTATCCACGTTAACGTTTTCTTTAACTGTGGAAAAAAAAATTTTTGATTACTGAAAATGATCGAATTTGATCACGAAAAGGTACGGATTTTCCGTTTGGCTTGTTCCAAAAATTTGTCTAAAAATTAATGAAAAAACTAACTACAAATGAGGTTAAGTCTTCGGTTTTGTTTTTGTTGATTACTGGGTAGCCTGTTTGGCTACAAGAGGAAAAATCATAAGTGAAGTACAATTTACACAAATTGTCACTGGTCATTTACCAGTTTATCGAGTTCCGCTCTCATTCTGAAACGTTCTTTTATCGCGAAGTACTATCGATGCTTTCGGTATAAATAAACTAAATGACCCTATACATACTTTGTAGCATATACCCGACTTTTTATAATCTAATATATCAATTTTCAAGATAAAAATGTGAATAAAAAAAAACATTTTAAATCTACAATACTATGTACACTTTGTAGGCATTTCGACGTCACGTTCACGTGAAACGAATAAGTTTAGAGCGTACAATAATAATTTGATTTTTTTTCCTTTCATTTTGAAAAATCGCTTTTTATTCCGTCGATATTACTTATTTATTGTATATATATATATACATATAGATAGATACGTACGGAAACGTAATAGTGACTTAAACCGATCAAAGACGGTACCTATAAATGATAATATGATTTAGGGATATTGCTGTCGTTTTCACACGGGCGAGATACCGAATAAAAACGCGCCTAGTATCGAATTGTATGAAAAAAAATCGAGTTACAATGTCGTTATTCGTTACTACGACTGACTGTACAGCGATAGTGACGATTCGATCAAACGCAACATGTTTTTTTTATTTTTTTTTTTTCGAATAAAAATATAAAATACGCCTAGGCGTAGGCAATAATCACAGGCGTTTTTTGCCGATGTACACGGTGTAGTTAGTGTAAATTTCATTCACGGTAATGTATTCCGCGGTTAGTTGACTGAATCGCCATTAATTTTATAAATTTGGTCACTGAAATAATACCCGATAATACTATCATAAACGAGCTGTAGGATATTTTTAAATATTTATTCAAACCAGAGTACTACCGGAAGGATATTCCGCAGCATCTTTTATAGAACGTATGAAAAAATTCCATTTTTTTCGTTACCAACCGAAAAAATAAAGTACGATCTCTTATATAGTGAACCGTTGAAGACTTAATCCTGAATATCACTCACGTATGCCATTTTAACTATAAAACCTAGTCTAAAAACCAAATTTTTGGTCATTAAAAGGACGTTATACCCGCATCTACTGTCCCAATCCAACTATCGGGTAACATGCAAAAACAATGCAAACGCAGAATAAATAAAACCAGCTTAATTTTAATTTTATAGTAAAAGTGTCTATTATGAAATTTATAGAAGACAATGTTTCGGAGGGGATTTCATAGGGTTTTTGTGTTATTCAAAATATACAGCTTGATTATACGATTCAAAAATCTCTTTTTTTTTTTTTTAAACTGTAACTTTTTTAATAGTTTATAATTCAAAAAACACCTTTGCATTCCTTTCACAGAGCATGCGGATATAGAATTCTCTTAATATATTTATATATTTTATTAGTTGTTTTTGTTGCAATTCGATAAATAATAATAAATAAATAATTCCCCTAAACTGTAACCTACGTCACGGGTAAGGGTAAGCTTCCATACACGACCTTCATTTACATCATAAAAGAACTTGTGTAAGTGCAAAAGGACATATTGTTATCATGTCAGTTCCTATGCGTACCTTATGCTTATTCAATTTCCAGTGTATATTGAAAACGATACGTTTCAATGAATCGAAACACAATAACTAACTCTGTAAGTTTATGTAGGTAAAATCCGGAATTAAATAAAAAAATATACGGGCTAAAAACGAATTGAGCAAATACGAACAAAAACAAACGGCTTGACCCGATATCGTAGCAAATTTTTTAAAATATTTCAATTATTTATGTATGTAATTCAACAATTATTGTTCTACACAAAAATACGTTTTGGAATTTGCATATTATTTATATTAATAGTACCTGTTAGATGGGAATTGAATTATTAACATAATGCTATTATTTTCATTACGCTCGTATCATAACGTATGTTAGTCGATAACACACGTCAATACTTGCAGAAGTTGTGTTAAGTGTCGTTTTCTTAAAACACCATCGAAACGTGCGGTTCAAACAAATAAAAATCATCGTATACTAAAATATGTACATGGTCAATCGTTGGGGCTTTTAAAAATAATAAAAAAAGTTTTCCTCCAAGGTCTGAATTTCACATTATTTTGTATTATACTTCTCTGGTTTCGCGTGGGTCTGTAAAAAATTATATTATTATGTATGACATAAAGGTACCGATGTATGACAGAAAAGTTTTACTTAACAGTTGCACAGGTAGTTGACAGTTTCCCAGTCGACATCAAAGCGAAATTATTTTATTACTACCCACACACGTGCGTAAAAATATCCTCCCCCCCAGATTTGTATTATTATTATTATTTTTTTTTTTATCTCTTCATTTTTTTTTCTTCTTTCTTCTTTGTTACGGCCTCCCGGTTTCTGACAGTTTTTTTAGTCCGCACCCGCTCATCGTTATATCTATTTATACTTGTATATATAACGCAAGTATAACTTTAAGCCCGCGTCCATATAAAGTCTCTCTTCGTGGTATCCTATAGCTATACCACGATTAAATTGGACGAATAGTTTTATTCTTTGTGCCGACAAAAACTCGTTCAATAACGTCCACACCGTGTATGCACCGACCGTATCCTAAGTATTTTACGGTATACTCGGTATGTGGCTGTGAATTCTCTCGCACTCGGTCTTCTTACGCCCCGGTATATTATATTATAGTAAAAATACACATACGTTATTATATTTCGTTTCTCTCTTTATAAACGCCTCGTCGAAATTGTTGTACCGGTACTTTGCGTTTATGTGCATTTCCCCGTCGTTAGAACACACGATATAATGTTCGTTCAAGTCTGCAGCGAACTCGCGTAAAGTATTTGGAGTGAAACTATTTTCGACATAGTTGTACGTATTTTAAATAATTTTTGTTAAAATATAAAATATATAGGTATTTTTCAATAGTATTTGTGCCTATTTAAAATCGAATACCATACCGCAGTACAATAGTATACGTACTACACTATGCGCAATCTGAAGTCTGACACTGTACTATAAAAAAATTCCAAAAAAAAAAAAGGAAAATGTTAAATTTGAATGTACAGATTGAATCGGAGGTTTTTGAAAGTTAAACCCCCGTAAGATACATCCTTGAAAGCACAGCTGAAAATTGTTTCCATTAGCTTTTGTTGTGGAAGGATAAGAGGGGTTTAAAGCTAAAACACACCCTCCTTCCGAAAAAACATAGTGAAATTCGTATTGGAATTTAACCCTACTTTTATCATATAAATCCGTCCATTAAACAACTGTAATTCCACAGTTTAACGCATACGTTTTTATAATAATATACAAAATAGGTGCGAAAAAGATTAGAAATTAGTAACAGAGCTCTGTTGCTCACGTGTAATTTTTTTTTTTTTTTTTTTTTCATTAGGAATAAAGACATATTAATAAAATATAGCTCGAAATTGAATACAATATAATATTCAAAAAAATATTAATTTTATATCGTATTAGGTTTATAGTACGTTTGGTCCCTGGCGACAAGGGCGTAAATCAATTTCCTATAGTTTTCAATGCGAAATAAATTCAATCATGGAAATATATATACTTTTTACGCAACTCAGGTCGAAAAAATAATTATATAAAACAAAATAAGGCCAGTCTCCTCTGGACCAAACCGTTATACTGTAGTATGAATCTCGTCCGAGACTCTGAACACGCTTACTATAATCACAATAATATTCGGCAAATGTGATTTTGTACAGCTACGGTACACTTTTTTTTATTGTACTATACTTGCCGTGTAGGTGCCAATTATATTTTATGAGCTCGCATTGTTTAGTGATTTCGAATAATATTACTATTTCATCACCGTTTTAAAATGTGTATTTTTTCTTTTAGTTTGTACAGTTGGCTCGTCACGAGAAATTAATTAGGTTAATAGTATTCACGACGATTCCCGTCGGTTTAAACGTATTGCCCAAATCAAATCCTCCGCCTCCTATGTGTAGTATACCATGCAATCTAAACAAGCTATATTATACTGATTACAATATTATTCCGTTCTAAGATCAACCAGACAAGTCCGCGCATACTGTTATATTGATTTAGTAGAGGTATTTAAACGCAACGATAAGACGATGACGTCGTCGTCGTGATTATTCGCCGACGACGAAACTCATTACTTTTGCGCTCGATATTATCTTTCGGGCAAAGACCAAACGTACAGTCGGTATACCCCCGTCCCACTCCCGTTAAAATTATCGATACATCTCTGGTACTGGGAAAGAAGGACTTCAGACAAATGTCAGCGTTTTTTTTTTTTTTTTTTTATTATTATTTTACTTAATGAAATTTTTTCCCATTTATTTTTTGTCTAAATCTCATTACACCATAAACATTTATTTTTAAATACTTTATTACGTCCAATATACACTGCAGAAAGAAATCGCGTTCGGTTCTATTGTTTGAGAGCGCGGAAACGTGTGTTTCCTAAAAAAAAAAACAAAAAATACGCGTTTTTCGAAATAGAAGAAAACGCCAAGCGCTCGGGACATTTAATAGTATTATAATTATTATTATTATATACATAGATTACGATTTTTCAAAGTTTCATAACACCAAAACTGAACCAGATGAAGAAGTCGTAGATACCGGAATTCCCGGTACCTTTACACAGGAGAAAGTTTCTTATCACTCGTGTAAGTACACGAGTAACTATAATGTCATTATAGTAATATACGTACTACCATAACGAAAGAATTATATCAGGTTTTTTTTTTTGTGTTTTTTCATTTAATACACGGGATTCGGTATGGATGAGTAAAATACTTCAAAATGAGAATCTAGATACTCGATACATTCAAACTAAAATAGCAATTACATTTTTCGCGCATTTTGTATCTTTGTACTTCGTTCTGCAATTATTTATTTGAAACATTTTTCGAAACTCTCAACTGTTCCCCATCATCCTATATCCGTTAAATTTCACTTTCAGTCGCTTATGGCTAAGATATTTAAAACTAAATATAGATTATAGTCACTCAACTCTAGACACACATCGATTTCGGTAGATATTACAATAATAAAGATACTCTATACTTTCCAGATCAATATTGCGATATATTATGATTTATGATACAAGAAACCGCTGTTTCTTTTTCTGTTTCGATTTTTCTACGATACTTATTTAAGAAACTTGTATCGGAGAATATAGAAATTGAAAACAGTATCGGAGCTTTCTGATTTTTTATCCTTTGTTTTCAAAAGTTCATTTTATTTTAGTGTGTCTTTGAAAATCTCGAGAAACGACCGTTAGAGAGGACCCAATGTTCGAGCCGAAATCCCATTATAGTTGCTGTCATACCAACGATGAGAGGATTCATCTGTCGGGATATTTTTTATTGAAAATTTAATTATATTGCAGTAATTTTAATATAAGCTCCGACAATTTCCTGGTTAATTAGCCTCGCGGAGGGGCTGGGGGAGACTAAAGCGGTTTATAGCGGCGGTGGTAGTCGAACGTCTCTTTTATTAGGCCGTATCATCAATCCGGCGGTAGAAGACGATGTTAAATGTCGGCGGAGAGGGTCCGGGAAGAAAGGCACTTTACTTGCATACTATAAACAGACGATCCTCGCCCTTCCGGCCGGGGCTACCGGAGGCGGTGGAAAAAGCGTTGGAGGTCGCAAGTTTCTCGGCCATTACCGTGACAAACCAAGTGTGAACATTTGATTGCGTCACTAAATCACGCGGGCACCACAATCTCCCCGTCGGATCTTTCAATCGTATCCTTTTCGCGCCGCTGCGGAAAGCGAAAAAATCCATTGTCCCTTCACGTCCCGCCACCGCCGCTGCCGAAACCTACTGACAAGTCCCATGTTTCTTTCTTCTCGCGAGCCTCCTTCACCCACCGGTCCGAATCGGACCGCATATAAAAGAACACCCGTGTATGTTTCCCACGCAAATTTCCCCTCGAATGAGAAAAAAAAATCTTTACCACGTGGGCCGACTGTGAAAATATTTTAACTTAATCCGTGAGGCACCCATCAACAACGTGACAAGACGATTTAAAAAAAAAAAGTTGATACTGTTCAGGGGCAGTCCAAGTTTGGTGAGATTGGATATGCATAGTAGTAGTATAGTTTATATACCGCATGTAACGACATTGATAGCAAACGAAAAAATGATTCTGAGAGGAGTAAGTATTTATCGTGTTTTTCCTTGTTGCTAAGGTAATCCAGAAATCGACAAAAATCAAAGAATAAAATATAAAGAATCGTAGAGGATTAACTTTTGAATATTCCTATAAATTTATCAAATAAAACATTTTGCATTTTTGGGGTAGTTATGACCCGGACAAACAAGATCATTTGTAACATCAGTTGTTTATAAGTTACACGTATTATAAATTATATTCCGTCATTGGCTTAATGAGTTCAAATGATCTATCTTGCGCCTCGTTATCGATTGATTATTTTTGTTATATTGATAACCTTTAATCAATATTTAAATATATTTTCGAAACGCTTGTATTCAATGGAATACCCAGACCCCCATATTTCCCGCGTAACAAAGACAATTTGTTCACTATTCAGAGCATTGAAAACTTATAATATCTCAGTCTATATAGGTAACGCAATAAATTATAATCTTTGCATATTCGCACTACTAACTCCACTACTGGTTGAAAATTGCATAATGGTGCAGTGCTACGCGAACACAGACAATTGATAGCTGGTCAATTCGTCCGAATATTAAAACTAACAGCGTGAAATTGGTTCTACCGAACGGAAATTCGACATCGTTATCCGATTTTCGACATTAGCCGTAACATGTTATATGTATATATAATGTTATACGAACCGCAAACGTACGGATTTCGCAACATTAACTTTTCGCAGCGGTAACGAGAGAACGGTAAAAAGAGAGGGAGAGGGTGAGAGAGAGAGAGAGAGAGGGTGAGGGGGAGAGAGAGAGATAGATAAATAGATAGAGCCGCGAGAGAGAGAGAGAAAGATAGAGAACCGCGCGGTAATGGAAAAGCCATATGAATCGGCTCGAAAAACAATCAGATACGAGCAAAACATCCGGATCATTAAGCCACCGTCAGTAATTTATATATACTCTGCGCGCCGATGTACACCGGTGCTTTTACTTATTTTTTTTCTTTTTTTTTTTTTTTTTTTTTTTTTTTATATATATATATGTACATAATATATTATAGAAGTAACCAAAGGTTTGGCGAAATAAAACACGCGTGACATAGCTCGGCGCTCGACGAACAAAATGAATACACCCGTCGTGCAGTAAATAGATAGGACGAAGATATTTGTGTGTATATATAAACGGGGCAAGCGGTGACGGGGAGGGTTTAGGGGTCGGTCAGGGGGGGGGAGAGAACTGCGGGGGCGTTTTCTCATTATAAAATCTGCCGAGAGGGGTGTGCGGCAAAACAAGAGCGGTAATAAATACAGATTTTATGCATGTTGCTTTTATGAGACAAAAATGATGGCTTGTGTACACAACTGTATTATACTGTACGTATAACATATACGTTACCTATTACTAAATGTATACAGGGTGTTTTTTAAATTTTTATCGCGATCCGTCGTTGACGATAAGGTTTCCGACAAAATTTTGATTTTTTTTTTTTTTCCGCGTCATTACAATATTATATACGTATATATATATATGTAAGTGATGTGTATAAATTGGACGTTTTCGTCGGTCGTGTTTGCGATATTTCGACTTTTTATCCTTGGTCACTATGTACACAACACGCCATAACATCGACTTTCGATTTTTCCAAACATTTCGGCGTGACACACTGATATTGCGCCTGATATTTACCGTTAATGAGTTACAATAGTTTACAATGTTGGCCCGACGAGTATACGAAAGGGTTTTCGTCCGAAACAACGGACAATATAATTGATTGCGATTTGTCGGGCTTTCACACTCAAAAAATCAATGCTCGTACAGGAGTAAACAATTTAAAGGGGTTATGCAAAAACCTACGCGCAGACGATTTCATAACATTTTCGCCACAAAAACACAACGCGGAAATTAAATTTGTTAAAAATCTCGTGGGAAAGTCATCGGATCGTGGTTTCAAAAAAAAAAAAAAAGTAACCCTGTACACGCACATAGGCCTGTACGTTGCGTACGTAAATTCCAGAGCCTTTCCACGTTTCGGCTTTTCGCGCGTCCGAACACGTGCTGATTATCGCGGTTAATTTTATTTTTATGTTTTACGTAGTTTGTGTAATTTACATCAGAGCTCTTCTCTCGGTCTCCGGATTGCGATCGTAAAGCCGTGCACATTTTAATGACCGGTCGTATGAATAATATCGTTTACGTGCGAATGATGTTTTTTCTTTTGTCTTCTTGTTATTTTCAAGCGCTCCGGAATGTCATTATAAATAATAGACTCCTCGGTCGTACAATTTATAGAGTCTGGCGAGTTTTGGTTAAATCTTTTTTTTTTTTCGAGTCGAGTATTCCTTTTTTACGAGTAAAATCGAGTTAAAAAAAAAAAAAAAAAAAAAATATTCGAGTCAGCTACTCAACCAATTCTTAGATTGGTTATCATAACATTTTATTAATACAATGGAAATAAATTGTTGTAAATATAAACTATCTACATATGTTTATCGTACAGTGGAAATATCTGGGTTTACAGATATTCTATATCTATTTGCTAAATTTAATTTTTAAATTCGAGTACGTGACCAAATCCAAAAATGTATCAAATTTATTAAACATGTATACTGAAGTTTTTCAGTTTTTAGTTGGCTTTCTGCGGATAAAATTGTTTTGACCGGGCAGAAATGCTCAAACACTTTACCCGATGTTCATAATACGTTTTAGTTGTAGCGGTGGAAAAAAAAAAATTAAGTATTATATGTAGTAGTTTTATTTTTTTATATGCTTTTTCATACAAAATTTTGACGAAAATCGTAAAATTCACGGCATTTTAAAACATATATTACCGAACTTGGCTCAACAAATAGTGTTTCGTTTGCAATGGTGTAGCGTTGCTTACAGATAATATTTTATAGATATTGTACAGAAAATATTACCCACACAAACTACGACACGTTCTATAGCATCTCAACTCCCTACTTAAAATAGGGGCACAACCATTATTTTTTATGTTTTCTTTGTATTATTAATACATCGAGGAAATAAAAAAAAAAAAAAAACGTTGTTTATTGTGAAATTTTTGTTTTTTTTTTCAAGTAAAAATTGACTAACTCAGTATTTTTAAAGACTATTTATCACAAACAATTTTAAGGACGTTCTCGAGCGAAAAAGCAGCGACGGGCCCTAATACTCCTCGTAGATTTAGTACGAGAATATCATCGCCGTCGTCGTTCGAATATAATATAGGTAGGCGGTTGAACATTTAACCGAACAATTGTTAAGTGCTTTTGGCGAGGTGCGAGAGACGTGCCCCGATTTCATAAACAGGTACCGGAATGTTTATTAGGTACGAGAGGAGACTGAGAGATTCCATTAAAAAAAAAAATAATAATAATAATAAGGACACCGACGCGTTCTTTGTGCCATTTCGATTCGTTTGCGAATACCCCGGTCCAACATTATTTATTAATACTTAAACGATTAATAAAAAAAAAAAAAAAAAAAACACCACGGTTAATTTCGTACGCTTAACTACGTTAAGCTCATAGGCGCCGTATAAACAGGTGTCGTCCGGGGACTTTAGCACGCTTGAGCATTTTTCAAGGTGAAAATCGGTTAATCTCAAAACGACATTTGTTCTTCATTTTGGAGAACGAAGTTTCACACATAACACCAAACATAATAGCTGGTTTTGTGGCCGCTTATTTTATTATTTTTTTATTTGTAGAATATTTTGTTTTAGGTGTTCCATTGATGTGTTAATGCTGTGTATTATTTTTATGTACAAACCGCGGGTCTGATGAAAACGAATAACGTTCTCGACAAAAATGTTTGTCGGTACGTTACAACATTAGGGTCTTGCGCGCCGGTACCGGTTGTTTCCAAACGCCGCGGTAAAAGCGAACGAAAGGAAATAAAAAAAAAAAAAAAAAACCGCGTATCAAATATTTTCCGTACGCGAATTCCTTTTCGCCGGCTGGGCGGGTGGTCGTGTTTCGGAACGGGCGTCGTTTTCGAAGCCCGTCACGCGTTTCGTCGAAGTGCGCGCGACCACTCTGTTATCGTGTCGTCGTCGTCGTCGTCGCGTACGCTAACCCGTTCGCAACAACGCGACGGTCGCTGCCCCGTCCGGACTTTGGACATTGAATTGCCGGGCGACACACACGAACGATGTCATCATAAATGCGGCGGCTACAGCCGTAATTGTCGGCCGTCCGCTTCCTGCGACTCCCGACGCCCCCCCCCCCCCCCCCCCCCCCCCCCCCCCCCCNCCCCCTCGCCATCCACGCCATCCCCGCCCCTACCCGCCCTTCGCGCACCCGCGCGACTCGCTCGCGGACGGCGGACCGGGACGTGCGGATTCGCATAACAGCGCCGCGCGCCACGCGTCTCCGCCGTGTCCCCGCGAAATGTCCAAAGACCGCGTTGTGTCGCGAGGCGCGTTTACGGTTGCGCGTCGTGACGATTTCCGGC